GAAGTTTAGCGAGTTTTGATCACGAAATTAGACCCGGAGTTTGATGTCGATTTTCGAGAACTTATACGACTATTTTCACGACTCTGACGTCATATTATACTGGCCACACACGTTTGGCGTTAGTCCGGTCGAAAAATGGAATTTCGACCCGGAAGTCAAAAATTACGATTTTGTCCCTCTGGAGGCCGAGGTTGGTTTTTGTGCCCGTATGAGGTTATTTTTCGAGGCCGATGTCATTTTATGGTGGCCACACATTTGGAAGTGTTACGGTCAAAAATTGGAATTTTTGGCTTGGAAGTGAAAAATAATATTATTTTATTCTCAAGACTTCGCAGTCGATTTTCGAGGGCCTAAAGGGCTGCTTTCGCGATTCCGACGCCATATTATGTTGGCCACACACGTCTTGGGTTGATACGTGCAAAAATTGAAATTTCGCCCCGGGACCGGAAAAATGACCATTTTGCCCCTGGGCTATTTCGGGTCCGAATTTTTGGGAAATTATGTGGGATATTTAAGAGTGCTTATCAGCTGAATTATTGGGGCTATTGACCTTTTTGCCCATCCATTATTAGATTAGGATGAATTAGGGCCGTAGGATTAGGGGTAGTTTGGTCAAAACTCCCGGATCGGCAACACGTGGCGCAATTGGGCTGCTATATTTGACCAGATCTGACCAGCCTCTCTCTCTCCTCCCTCATTTTCGGCCAGAACACCCCAGAACAGCCCCTCCTCCTCCGTTTTCCTCCTCCGCCGGTTTTCCTCGCCGGCCGCCGGAGCTCGTCGTCGCCGCACGCGCCGCCGCCTGTCCAGTCGCGCCGCTGTGCCGTCTCCTCAGCCTCACCCTCATCCCCACCATCCTCTCTCTCTCTCTCTCTCTCTCTCTCTCTCTCTCTCTCTCCCCTCTCCGCGTCCGTACAGTCCGTACGGTGTCCGTACGGCCGCCGCGCCAGCCACCGCCGCCTCGCCGGCCACCGTCCCCCGCCCGTCCGTACGGTGTTTCGTACGACATCCGTACAGTCGTCTGTACGCCGGCCGCCGTGAACCGTATGCCGTCCGCCGGGAACGCCGCCGCCGGTTCCACTGTTCATCGGTGATCGGCCGCCGTTCCTCGTCGTCGTGGTCCAAAATTAAGTGAGTATACCTCCTAAACCCGGATTAGGACTGATAATGCGATTTTCTGGACTGGCTTAGGTATTATCGGTGTATTTTGGACTGGCTTGGGTAGTATCAGTGTATAATTCGGACTAGATTGAGGATGGTTTGGTGGAAATAAAATCCGAGGAAATTAGTGGGATTATTATGGATAATTATTGGACCCGGATTGGGGAAATAGTGGCTGTCCGTATTTTTGAGGAATATATCGGATTATGGCGGGCAACGAGAATTGTTAGCTGAATGATCGGGATTATCCGAGGTGATTGGTTGTTGACCGATTGGTGCTTAATTGTGAAATGATATGTTGTGTGCTCGTGTGACTAAATTGTGCGGAGTGTGATTGGCCAATTGATGGCTTAAATTGTGTATTTGAAATTGGGCCGCTTGGTATTAACTGGCCAAGTGAGCATGCTATTTATGAATTGGGCACTGTGTGGTGATTTCGATTTGACTGAGTACCTGTGGTTTATTGATGCTCATGTTGCATTATGTTGCATTTCATGGACACGCATTGGGTGTGCCGAGAATGAGGCGTGTGACGAAATTTTGCGAGAATGCGTGTCTGACATGAGCATGTGATCACCTAATTATGCCATGATGCATTTTACGCGGGGCCCAGATAAAATTGGCAAGGTGCCGTGTGATCACTTAAGGGCCTTCGGGTCGATGCCGTCCTCATGCACTTTGTAGCAGGACGATGCCCGGTATGTCCGGAAGACGACCAACCTGATGCGTTTTACGCGGGCTCTAGTTCGTAGGGAGATCAGTGTTGCGCCTCATGCACTTTGTAGCAGGCTAGAGACATTGGGCCAGATCGGTGTTGCGCCTTATGCACTTTGTAGCAGGCTAGACGCACCGGGCCGGGAATTGTGTGGGCTCGAGTCGTAATTAATAATTAAGACGGTGTATTGGGTAAACCGAAATGGGAACATCGCATGACATTGACATTGTATGCATAAAATGCACGACCCGGCATGCGAGATGAACATTGTGAATATGAGCATGCGCGTAGCGCACGTGTGATCAGCGTATTTGTGCACGTGCCTTGAGGAATTTAATGAACTGCCTAACCTGCAGGATAATTCTTATGTTCTGTTTGGGCCAAAGGCCAAACCATTGTCTGTGTATTATGTTGTTTTGCCTGTCAGGAGAATGCATGTTAGCTTAGCCTAGGTCTAGGGGTTATACTCGCTGAGATTCGTCTCACGGTTGTAATAACCCACATTTTCAGACCCCCAGCCATAAAGATGCCGAATCCGCCGCTTTTTGGAATACCTGTACAGATACGCCAGTATACTAGTACATACCCCGCAGGAAATGGGGAATCTTATGTGAGATATCGATCCGTGGTGTTTGTAAATGTGGGAGAGTATTTTCATCAGACTCAGGAGTACGTGGCCTGGTGCTTACGAGATGCGGACGGAAACCTCGGACAACCCCTTAGAACTTTTGATGTGCCGGTCGACCAAGATGGATTGATGATTCCACGGATGGCTGATGGTGAGATAATCAATCCTCAGGATGTGTATGACGTAGACGGCATGGATGAGCCCATGCATGGGGAGCCTCAAGTAGTCGTCGAAGATCCTGATCAGCTCGATGATGAAGAAGAGGAACTCGAAGACACGGACATAGATGACAAGGAAGAAATTGGAGAGGTCGCCGAGGTAGGGTCCGATGTAGAGATAGGAGCTGAGGAAGATGACGAGTTAGGTCTTTATCTGGACCCAGAGCTAGAGCTAGATTCGGAGGACGAGAGGATCGTAGCCGAGGATACGGAGTCGGAGCCCTCGGAGGAGTCTTCAGAGGAACCGTCGGGCGATTCATCGGAGTCCTCGGACCCTGACTGGGAACCCTAGAGCAGGCCGGTACCCTGGGAAGCGAAGACCGTCTCTTTTGAATGGCATTCCTACCCTAGTTAGCTTAACCACCGGTGCCACTTACCCTTTTTGATATAGTGGCAGTTGACTGCTGATGTTGAGGTTTTTGGAGTTTTACAAAAGGATAGTGTAAAAAGGTTTTTACTATATTAGTACAAGTGTATATTCTTGTTTGATGGTTGTTCTACCTTAGTCTCACGTGTGTTGTTTTGTACGGGTGTATATATATATACGTTGTTTCCGCATGTGCCTTATCTCTGATTGGGCGTTGGGTCGGCGACGCATCCTGGGAGCGTTGCATCACAAACGACCGGAGGTGGGATGCTCGCGCTTCGTGGGGTACGGGGCGTGACAACTATCAAAATCAATCCACGCGATCCGCAAGATTTGTTTTATTAAATTCAAATTAGGCAAAGAAATCAAACTAACGGTCATATCTATAAGGTTATAGATATCGACGGAAAGCTGATTGTTCAAATTTGGAAAGAAAATAAAATTTATTATCGTATCCAAGTGATTATGAATAAGATAACGATTTTCCGTATCACCGCATATCGTACCTTAGGGATAAGGTCGGATAGTCGTCCAGATACGTTGCCAAATTAGGAATGATTCCTAATTTTGGGTATTTTCAAATATTACGGATATAGCACACATCATCCTAAGGTATCTAGCAATCCACGCACTATTCACGAAATATTCAAACACCCGAAAGATTAGGAAACTGAATATTCTAAGACTATAGATGAGAATCTTACCTAATTTGTGGATATTTCCAATTCGAACTTGGATCGGACTCGGGCTTGCGGATCGGGACGGTGACCGACGGCGGCAGGCGTTCCACGGGTTCAGGCTCAATTCTATGGCTAATGGTTCGCGGAACTCGTAGATCATGACTCGAATATTCCGAACAGCCTGTAAAACAGAAAACCCAACGCCTCGGCTTGGTGGGAGTCCGACGAAGACTCAGCAGGAATTGAGGCGGTGCAAGAGTCCCAGTGCAGGTCACGCCAGGGGAGCCAAGACTTGATGTGGCTGAACGCAATGTCGCAAAAGGATCGTCGCTCGTTGGAACTTCTCCAACGATGGAGCAATGTCAGAACCGTTGCTGTGCAAGCAAGTAGAGAGAATTTTTGTTTTTTCCTCCTGCTTAGCTCTTTCTCTGTTTGGTGGAGACCCCTCTGGGCATCTTCTTCAATGTGTTGAACGCGTCTTGTGTCCCACCTGCAGGAAAAAGCCAAAAACTCCTCTCTCTTGGGTCTGTTGTGATGAAGAGGTCCTCGTGAGTAATGCCTATTGCGGAAAGAGAACTTTCTCACGGACGTGCTCTCCTTATTCTCTCAATGGTGGCCGTGTATGAAATTGTGTGGCCTCCTCTGCTCTCCGAAATTGTGTTCTTCAAAAATTATGAGAGTCTCCCTCTCATTGAAGGGTATAACATGTATTTATAGTATGACCTAGGTTTGTCTTGCTATTGCGGGCTTAATTTAGGCCACTTTTTCAATGTGATGGGCTCTAATACCCTAAAGTCAACTTGCGATTAAACTTTAATGGGCTGAATTATGATCAAATTAAGTTCAATTGAGCCTGTCATGTCTTGTAATTTTCGGCCCTTATCCCTTGAGTGAGCCGAGTTTTGTTTGGTGCCCGAGCTCGATTTACGCAATGGATTTTCAACTTTCTCGCCACTGTCGATCCGATGCGGAATGCAACTAACCTATATGAACTTAAACTATATGCTATGCAATTTTAATATTTTTGTTTAGGGGTTAAAATTTAATCCCTAATTTTCTATGCAAATTATTATTAAATGGTCGGTCGAAATTTAGATGTCAACATGCCTCAACATGGAGAGCATTGACAAGTAAAAAATGCAAAAGCAAGATCCACAACAAGAGGGAGAGGAACGTTCCTCCAAAACAAAGGCATTCCCTGCAAGAATAACGTACAATGTATTGCCCCTACCTTGTATTGTCCGGGAGACATTTGACAAAAGTCGTCTGCAGCTGAGGAAGAAAAGGCTTCAGAGCCAATCCTCCCTTTCTTCGTATGATGCTTAGAGTGGATAATATTGCACTCGTCACTTGCCAAGGAAACCGATCACCTATTATCCGGATAAGTGGTCTGCATCCACATGCAGTCTAAATGTTAGGGAAGGAAAAAGTTGAACCATTGGTAGCACACGCAAATGAAGACATTAACCATACAAAGACGAAATGCATCAATCACCGAATTAATAATCTGATCAAAGAAGAAATAGGGTCCAAGCTACGTTTGGTTAGCTAAGCACAAGACAACAAGATTTAAGGGGGGAAAAGAGTTACTTGAGCTGTCAAAGTCACGATCAAGAACTAAAGAATGACAAACTAAAAGGATTATCAGACTTAAAGAGCATTCTCTAGTTTCGCAAAATGACTACGCAAAAGCAAATTTCAATTCAACTTTCCAAATTTTCCAGATGTTTTAGCAGCATGTCTTAATAGTTTCTAAAAACAAGAAGCAAAAATGTAGACTGTAAGTACTAGGAATGTAGTTCTCAATAAGTACCGACTCCCAATTTACAAGTTCCAGTCAACTTCTTTTTTTTAAATGAAGTCCATTCAACTAAATCTCAGATGTTGGGGATCATTCAGAGCAAGAAATGCAAGAAACCAATACCGTGTTATTTGGATTACACACTCCTTCAGAGCCTTCTCACTTGTCACTTCAATCAGCTCTCCAAGACCTAGCGCTGCCTGTTCTCTTAATTCGGCAGATCCACTCATTAGAACCCGTAGGGACGTGCTGCTTAATCAAATTTGACATATTTTGGCTAAAAAAAAAAGGGAAAAAACCATCAAAAACCCCAAACTTTGCCATATGTGACACATTTACCCCGAACTTTTTTTTGTGACACCAAAAACCCCGAACTTTGCTTTTTGTGACACATTTACCCCAATGTATTTAGTCCATGGGCATTTTCGTCTTTTCTGCTTTTTCTTTTTTTTTTTCTTTTTTTTTCCTTTCCGGCGAGGGGGGGCCTCGCCGGCGTCGGCCTCGCCGGATCCGGCGAGGGGGGCCCTCGCCGGCGTCGAGCGAGGGGGGCCCTCGCCGGCGTCGGGCGAGGGCGGCCTCGCCGGCGTCGGGCGAGGGCGGCCCTCGCCGGCGTCGGGCGAGGTTCGCCCTCGCTGGGCGAGCGAGGCGTCCCTCGCCCGACTCGGGCGAGGTCGACCCTCGCCGGCGTCGGGCGAGGGTCAACCTCGCTGAGTCGGGCGAGGGCCGCCTCGCTCGCCCGGGCGAGGCGGACTCGCCCGACGCGAACCTCGCCCGACGCCGGCGAGGCCGCCTCGCTGGGCGAGCGAGGGCCGCCTCGCCCGATCTCGGCGAGGTCGACCCTCGCCGGCGTCGGGCGAGGGTCGACCTCGCTCGAGTCGGGCGAGGGCCGCCCTCGCTCGCCCGGGCGAGGCGACCCTCGCCGCGTCGGGCGAGGTCCGCTCGCCCGGGCGAGCGAGGCGGCCCTCGCCCGATCCGGCGAGGTCGACCCTCGCCGGCGTCCGAGCGAGGCGGCCCTCGCCAGATCCGGCGCGGGAGGCCCTCGCCCGACTCGGGCGAGGTCGACCGCTCGACGCCGCGAGGGTCGACCTCGCTGAGTCGGGCGAGGCGGCCCTCGCTCGCCCGGCGAGGGCGACCCTCGCCGGACGCCGGCGAGGGTCGCCCTCGCCCGGGCGAGCGAGGGCCGCCCTCGCCCGACTCAAGCGAGGTCGACCCTCGCCGGCGTCGGGCGAGGTCGACCTCGCCCGAGTCGGGCGAGGGCCTCCTCGCTCGCCCGGCGAGGCCGAACCTCGCCCGACGCCGGCGAGGGCCGCCCTCGCCGGACGCCGGCGAGGGCCCCCCTCGCCGGATCCGGCGAGGCCGACGCCGGCGAGGCCCCCCCTCGCCGGAAAGGAAAAAAAAAAGAAAAAAAAAAAGAAAAAGCAGAAAAGACGAAAATGCCCATGGACTAAATACATTGGGGTAAATGTGTCACAAAAAGCAAAGTTCGGGGTTTTTGGTGTCACAAAAAAAAGTTCGGGGTAAATGTGTCACAGATGGCAAAGTTTGGGGTTTTTGGTGGTTTTTTCCCAAAAAAAAAACAGGAGCTGATGAAACACATCGATAATATTTATTTCAATATCCTTGGAGCCAAAAATGAGCTTCAGTACTTTCAAATGCTCTATTGATCGTAAAACCTCGAGAGTTGTTTGTAAGTCTTGAGGTAAGTCTTGATATTAGCATGAGTTAGATAACCTGTAGCGGTGCCTCACATAAAGCATGCGGTGAGTAGGACACGGAACGGACAACATTGTGAAAACCTCAAAAAGACATCATGGACACACACACCAAGACTGCTGTCAACAGATGCGTGCAACCAAAACTGTCGTAAAAGAGACGGTGCAAGTTCCCTTGCTTTCTTTTCTAGCAAAAAAAAAAAAGTTCCCTTGCTTTCTCATTTATTTTTTAATAAGTTCCCGTGCCTTGACCGAGCATGATATTATTGTGTGGAAAAAGAAATAAAATCCAGTAATAGGTGCTCCTAACACGTCTTCACCATTAAAGGACTTGCCTTGTTGGTGATTTGCTTCCGATTTTTCGGAATATCATGCCATTGTTACATTTAACATGCAGAAGGTTCACAACATTTAGTCACTGGCTGTGCATTTGTGTTATAATAACATTGACAAGGATAAGCAGAGCAAGCATCTTAACCTCAGAGAGGTAATAGGCCGATTCCATTCTTCTATTTTCGATAGTTAATTTAAGTAGACAGCACTTATTTTCGAAACTCACTCGACAGTGATTCATTTGCAGTGCCGATCCGCCTTCTTCTTCACTCGGTCATCAAGTGCGTCCTCGACGGTCTTGGCCTTGAACTTGGGGTCGTAGCGGAACTACCTCGCCTCCATGGGGAACAGCTCCTCGTACTTCATCTTCTTTGCCGCGTCGATGGGGTAAATGTCCTGGCCCGCCGCCGCCGCCGCAGCGTCGCCGTCGCCGTCCTCCACCCGCTGCTGCTCGATCTCGCTGTCCTCAGCGGCGGCGGCATCCTTGAGCTTCTGCTTGCGCTTCTTCTTTTGCTTCTTGTCGATGGACTTGCTGCGGGACGCTAGGGCTTCGCCCTTGAAGGTCAGCCTCCCACCTTTTGCTCGCTCGTTGAGGACGCGCTCGATGACTGAGTGAAGAAGAAGGCAGATCGGTATTGCAAATGAATCGTTGTCGAGTGAGTTTCGATATTCAAGTCTAGTTTTTTCCCTTCTATTGCTATCGCTGGTTTAATAAAGAGTAGACAACACTTATTTTCGATATAATTTACGCATTAAAATTACAATAAAATTCGAATAAATAGCTTATCCTCTTCATTTTTCTTTTATTTTTTCGATTTAAGGATTAGTCCAAAGAAAAAAGGACACGAGAGAGATGGCGACAAAATGCTGTAAATACACAGGACCCCCTGGTTTGGACACACCCCGGGTATCTTGAAAGAGAATCCCAGCCATCCAAATCCTACGCATGCGGGCCCACTCCCATGCAAGAAAGGATCAGACGGATCGTGTGTCATTCTGATCATCAACGTTTGGGGCGGGGCTCCGATTCGTGGGCTCTACCCTCCTCGTGATGGGAGGGATGATCAGCTGGTCGTCCTAATCACGGTAAATGTAGGCGAGTCCGCCGTGCCTCATTAGATCCATGCTGTCCTTCTCATCATCGCCGGACGCTCAGCCACTTCAACTTGTGGAGCCCATAAACAGCAGGCCCATTGTGGCTGTGACCTGCCCCATGATCTCCAGGATCTCCACGATTTGGGCCACCAGCAGCTGCCCACGCCGCCTGTGAACCACCCGTACTTACGGCCCGACCCGCCGTACACCTCGTCCACATACCGCTGCTTTGCGAATAGGCTCGTGAAGATTAGCCCCCGTGAAGCTGGGCCGCCTCGAGCAGGTCGTTGAACTTGGCCAGCTCCGCGAGCTTGTTGAAACCGATGAGGACCCACCCGGACGTGATGGCTGCGAACCCGCCAAGTAGGCTGTTGCACACGTCGATGATGTTCCTATGGCCCGCCAACAATCGCTTGCTAAGGCATGGTGAGGGCGGCGGTGGAGTCGGCCGGCGTGGTCATGACGGCTGTCCGCCCCACGGTCCTACATCGGCTGTAGAACCCGCTGATGGTGTTGTACGTCTTTAAGATGGTGAGGAACGAGCCCAGGTTGAACCCGTACCACCCGAACCACAACATGAATGACCCAAGGACAACGAGGGACGCGCTGTGACTCCGCAAGGCCACGACCCGCCCAGCCTGGTCAAACCGGCTGATGCGCGGGCCCTCAATGAAGGCTTTCCACAAGCCATCTATCCCTCCCACCATGTGGACCACGCCCGACCTGGCAAAGTCGATGGCGCCAGACCCGAAGAAGAGCTTGCCGTCAGGCCGGAATGGGTTGGGCCAATCGTCGGCGGACGAAAACCAATGAGAGGTTATCGTGTAGACAGAGCCCGTCAAGAAGGTGGAGTATATGAGGTAGGCCATGAAGTGGGTCCTCTCGACGATGGACCTGCTGGTGATGCCGGCAGCGGCGATAGCAAAGGCCCATTGGTAGAGGAAGAAGCTGTAATCGAAGGGGTCGGAGGGGATCTTCTTGAGGCCGAAGAAGTGGAGGCCGACGAAGCCCTTGGAGGGGGAGCCGAAGAGGTAGTAGCGGAGACTGCCGGCGGCTGCATCGAGGACGTTGGTGAGCATGATGTTCATGGTGTTCTTGGCGCAGACGGAGCCGGCGTAGAGCATGGAAAAGCCGAGCTGCATGGAGAAGACGAGGTAGGCGGAGAAGAGGAGGTAGGTGTTGTCGACCGCGTGGGCAGTGTCGGCGAACTTGTTGGAGATGCGCGTCGAGGCGGCTGCAGAGGAAGGTGGACATGAGGGCATTGTTGGAGTTGGAGGCTGTGGAGTTGGTGAGCGAGGCTAGGTCCGAGGCTGAGCATTTGATCTCCATAGGTGAAGGTGGTTTTGATGATGGAGCACTTTGGAAGTGAAGATGAAGATGGTGGTGTTTGAGAGAGAGAGAGAGAGAGAGAGAGAGAGAGAGAGAGAGAGAGAGAGAGAGAGAGAGGACTATCTGGTTGTGGTTGTGTTGGTCATATAGGGCAAGGACGGAGTGACGTTGAAGACAGAGAGAGAAGACTTTTCATTGCCCATTCTTGTTTTGTACCGATGGCGTGGATAAACCGGACAAAAATCATGATGCGGAATATACGCATGATGTTGTATACTTTTGCTTGTGGATCGTGGTCGAAATTCTCTTGTCCTTGTTATGTGACTGAAGATCTAATATAATGCCTGGGCACTGGGTCCTCGGCCTGGCCTCTATGGACCCGGGCCTGGCCTCAATGGACCTGACCTGGCATCAATGGTCGCGGTTGCGATGGACGGGGACCTGAGGTCTCGGGCCCCGCCTCAATCCTCAATGGATCAGGACACAAGTGCGTCAGGGTTCCGGAACTAGTCTCAATGGACTCGGGCCCGAGCACTAGGGTCCCGAGCTCGAGTGCCAAGGTCCCAGGCCCGGCCTTGATGGCCCCGGGCACGGGTGTTGGAGTCTCGAGCCCGGTCTTGATGGACCTGGGCACAAGCACTAGGGACTCGGACACGAGCACTAGGGTCCCAAGCTTAGCCTTGATGTACTCGGGCCTAGCCTTGATGTACCCGAGTTGGGGCGCTAGGAAATTGGGCACAAGCACCGGGGTTCCGAGCCTAATCTCGATGGACCTGGGTGTGGGCACTAGGAACCCGGGCCCGGCCTTGATGGACATGGGCGCCGGGGACCCGCGTAAGGGTTCCAAGGACTCGGGTACTAGCCCTGAGGACTCGATCTCGGGCACTAGGGTCTTAGGCCTGGCTTCAATGGACTAGGGCACAAGAGTCCCAGGCCCGGCCTCGATGGGAATGGGCCCGGGCTCTGAGATCTTGGCCCAGCCTCGATGGACCCGAGCTTGCCCTTGGTGGACCTCGGTAGACCTGGCCTCATTGCCAAGGGCCCGGGAACGAGCATTGGGATTCTCATGTCCAAGTGCAAAGTTTAAGATTTAAATGGGCAAAAGGACACTATAAGTGCCATAACTTGTGTACGGCGCTCACTTTGGTGCCATAACTTTTTTTCGGATCACTTTGGTGCCAAGTCGGAGGAAAAACGATCACTTAAGTGTTATAACTTTTTTTTTGGATTACTTTAGTGCTAAAATTTTTGAAAAACGATCACTTAGGTGCTAAAATTTTTGAAAAACGAATATTTAAGTGCTAAAATTTTTGAAAAACGATCACTTAAGTGCCAATCTCCGGCGAGACTCCGGCGAGCCACGTCAGCTTCAGAAATTAATAAAAAAAATGCCACGTCAGATTTCCGGCAAAAAATTGTGTACGGCACCGGAGTTGGCACTTAAGTGATCGTTTTTCAAAAATTTTAGCACTTAAATTATCGTTTTTCAAAAATTTTAGCACTAAAGTGATCCAAAAAAAAGTTATGGCACTAAAGTGAGCGCCGTACACAAGTTATGGCACTTGTAGTGTTCTTTTGCCGATTTAAATGTCAATATCTAGTCATATTTTGGAAAATGATTTCCGATTCTTTAAAGAGGAAATCATTTTCCTGAATTTAACTATATGTTTTTCATTAACTCATTTTCCTAACCAATTCAAACGCCGGAAAATGAAGAAAATTTTTTTCCAAAAAATATGTTCCGTGAAACAAACGGAGCCTAGGGTTTTGGATGAGCCGCCAAGATAGCAATCGATTTGCAATCTGTAGTATATCATATCTATTTTACTGCTCTAACTGGATTGCTTCACTGGATTCAGTTGATTTTTGCACGTACGTCTTCCAAGAGTAATGAGAAAAGCCATTACATTCAACCCTACAAAAGAGCACAGGCCATTCTCACCACAAGTTGCTAGCTTATGTTCTTGAATAACTTCAGAACATTTGCTAATCGATTTGATGGCCCTATATGGTTTCAGTAAAGAGAGTTCAAATCATATCCACGGCCACTCTCTCCGGCTATAGATCTCAAATTACGGTAGGTATGTGGAGACTAGTTAACAAAATTAGCCGCGATGCGATAGACTCGACTATCGGGTGTTCAATATGGCACTTACGATCCGACTCTCGACTTTGACACTCAACCCGAATCTTGGAATATCCATATATAATCACAATCCACAATTGTGATGAAAAATCATTATTGTTTCAGGTGACACAGTTAGAATTTGCAAGCGAGAAAGAAAAGAGAAGAGAAAGAAACATGAGTAGCAATCCGTGGCTTGCGTGTTCTTAAGCATTTGTTCTACCTGTATCTATTTTTAATTCGAGTTATTAAAAAAAATTTTGACGAAGACTAATTCACATCCCTTTTGTTATAGTTAATACAGCTAATTGAAGCTCTATATAATTGTTTGATTATCGAATTATTAATATTTGAAGTGGTAGACAACCTTGTGATGCTGCGAAAAGCTAGTGTTTTGGGGCAGCTCTCGGAGGACAGATGATGTAAGTAGCAACAAGAAGGGAAATGGTCTTATTCGACAGGGTTTGCTCTTTTGTATTTAGCTTTGGTTCTTTCTTTTCTTGGCTTCTTGTCTCCTCACAGATATAACTTGCATAATTGTCTGCTAGAAGAACAAAGAGGGGGAAAACAGGAAGAAAACACGATCGCGAGGTAACAGACTAATCCTGAACAGCCAAAAATGGACTAAACTCACATCGATGAAGAATTACCATCTTCTGAAACTCTACGACTAAAGTAGTGCGTGGTATCTATACATGCGACGGCTGATGGGAGTGTTCTTTATTTCCCCCTCGCCGAGATAGATATTGAATTGCAATATGCAAACAAGAAGGAAAAGCGATTTCTTGCTTGCGGCATTTTAAGACCGTAAGACCAGTTCCAACCATGGTTTGCTTGGGAGACTCGGAATCATGGATCATTCACGAATCTTGAAGATGCAGCTGGCAGTAGAAACATTCAACCGACGGGGATTCTGAAACAGCAAGCTTCCGCCAAAACCTGAAACCGCAAAACCTCAAGTTGGATGACCGCAAGAGGGCGGCGAAAAGGCAACAGGACTAAATGGCCTGTGACAGTATAATGAACTTAGAAAACCCCAAAGAATCTTTGACCAGTTTATAGCATTGGTGGAATCTTGTAACCATTTATGAATTCCATTCTCATAAGTCAAAATGGTAAAGAAACCCAGCATTATATAACGTATGCACAGCTCACGCCAGATATTCCCAGTGTCTATGTCAAAGAAACGTGGAGAGAACACAAGGGCATGCCACCCATTAAATTAAGTGAAAACTCAATCCCACATTTGAAGTGAATCTCTGATATGCGAGCAAAAACTAACTATTCATTGCATAGTCCGGCTCGAATGAAGCACGACAAGTTAAGACCTTCGCATGTACAACTGCATAGGCTGGATTGTACGTCGTTAATCACAAAGTACCTAGGCTTCTAATCATGT